TCTTTTGTTAATTTTACTTCCATAGAGCTATTTCACTGAGATTTTGCTTTGTATATTTGACAAAAACATAATGATGAACTGTTTTATAGTGTTTAGTGTAATATATAGACAAGTTGTTTGGAAATGCTAAATAAATCATTTTTCAATAGCATGTGCTGGTAATTGGTCCTTTCTCCAATGTTCAGGAATGCATTGCATAATGTATGCAAACAAAGACTGAGATACAACTTTTTGTTTTGGGAGGGCAGCCTTGATAAATCAGTGTATCAACAGCCATATTTTACAAAATAAAAGTACTTATGCAACATAAGTTTTTTGGAGTCAAGGCCCCCCAGCCCCCCTGTGTCTCGGTCCTTGTATGCAAACATTTTAATATCAATTTTTCTAGCTTGTGACCTCTTTATTTTGTTTTTGCTTCTAGGAAGAAAAATGCAAATAAGTTTGTTGGAGCTTTTATTCACCCTACACAGTTCCAGTTGGAGCACTCGGTACTGCTACCATCTTCAAGAGCAGGCATACGCTTGCAGCCAATAAAGAATGCACCTGTAAGCTTAAATGTTATTTGCCTGGTCTTTTAAGGAGAGCCATAGCTTTTGCTCCACTCCAGATTCACTTAAAATAATGCAGATTGCTTTCCTAGACTGTTCCAAAAAACAAATAGCTCTTCTTGAAATTTTTTTTGTTTCTATGTACCCAGGGAGCCATTTACTGCTCTGCTGCTAAAAATCATACAGCCAGTATTCTGGCTTAGTTTTAACTTTTAAAAAATGTGAGCTTGCACCACAGGTATTAGAGAAACATTTTAAGGGACTAGACCACCAAAATGACAATTGAGGAAACAAAGCAAATCTTGCGATGCCTGGCATAAGAGCAGAATTCACCTGAAGAATTTAGTTGTCAAAGAATACAAATATGCAATAAAATGTACAACCTGATTTGAAAAGTGCAAACTCAAATTCAAGAACAGATGTGAACTTTGATTTTGATGTTTAAGAAAGTGTCTATTCTAAATAATAAATTTTATTTCTTTAAATAAAATAATAGTTTTGGAGACAGGTTATTCATGTAAAGCAGTGTTTGTTGCTGATCAATTTAACCTCATTGAATAAAATAATATATTATTATTTATTATCTTTATTCAGATTTGAGTACTGAAAGATGTAATTATACACAAAAGAAGTGTAATATTTTATACATTCTTGTGTTTTATAGGGATTGTATGTTCCTGTATGCCAATTATTTAAATTGATTATCTACAGATATTAATCAATCAAGTTGTATTCAAATTTTTTCGTTCATTTTTTTACTAAAAAGGACTTGATAAATTGTGCTTACAAGATTCAATGATTTTCATCAGTACCATTCCCATTTGTTTAGATTCCAAGAAAAGATGAAAAAGAAGCTCACAGTTTGCCTAGGTATTTGGAACATCATCGTTTAATGTCAACATAAAAATTGTTTGACCAATATTCACCAATGATGCAAAAAGTCACTTTAAGTCTTTGAAAATTGCAAACTATACTGTAGGTATATTGCCATTACTGCTTTAAACGTATTTCCAAAAAGTATTCATTTTAAAGTACAGTAGCTATGACAAATGGATCATGCCATTTGTATGGCTATTCTTCTCTACAATATTAGGTTTTAAATGTTGAAAATACAATGATTGTTAATGATGATAATGAAATAAAATCACAATTATGAAAATTTCTGTATTTTTCAATAAAGAAAATTACAATATTAAGCCTACAGTGTTTCAATAATGAATAATGTCAGAGCTGTTTAGTCCTTTTCTATGTTATAGGCAATCAGATTCAAAGCTATCACACTAAAGTCAGAACATTAGCAGTATTTTCATTTGATAATTTTTTTCTCTGCCTTTTGAAAGATCTCTTTTCCTCTTAGCTAAGTTAAAATAGTTGCCAGCATTCTTTCTTTAATATTCTCTTAATATATTCTTTAATATTCTCTATAATATTTTAATATTTTCTTTAATTAGTGTTGCTGAAAGACCCAAATTTTGTGTTGAAGAAAGAGCATTAACATTTTTAGAAGAGAAAGTTAAAAAAAGTCCAAACTCAAGTTCGCTTTGGAATCCAAATGACAAGAGGGAGCATACAGAGCTTGCAAAAGAGCCTTCATTGTTTCTTGATATCAATTATGGATCAGATGGTGATCTTGACATTATTGAAATACCAGATTTGGTAAGGACATGCAGAGTTGAAAATATTAATTAAATAAAAAAACATCCAGAAAAATGTTTAACTCTTCTAGACATTTGAATTATGTTATAAACCTAGCTCTTTGATTTTTTAATCTCTTTGTCTTGTAGCTGTACATTTCTTTTATTTCCTATCATTTTCATGTAAAAGTTATTGATATATAATAACTTAGCCTTAAGGCACATTTGAGTTACTCGAACACTGAATTATTTTATTTTAGTTGTTAGTATATCCATGAGCAGGCAATCGTGTGCCTAAAAAGGCTATTGTTTTTCCAAAAGAAATGTTTAGGTTCTATAGTTTTATATGGACATAATCTTATATACAAAGGAAAGTGCATGATTGTCAGTCTTTGTAATATGAAAATAGGCCGCGTGCGGCATTTCGCACGCCTTGGTTACTTTGCGCGTGCGACGGCGTGCGATGCGAACCGCTTTTTATCGGTTTTTTCTCATCCCTGTTGTCAAGAACTGGGTGCTGCTTTTAAGGAGACCTTTTGTGTTATAAACTGAACGGAAACCAAGGTAATTGACAGAGAAACTGTTCTTGTTCTTTTTTAAAGATGTTAAATTTAATTAGTCACTTAAAGAAATCTGAATTGAAAAAAAATTATATTACCCGTAGACCCTACTCAAATTCTATTACCTGTGAATATCTTAGCGGATATTCATAAAAAATATCTTACCGTTAGATCGGTATTCCTTTGGAATTGAGCTAACAATCAAATGAGAAG